TCGGTTTTGTCACAGTCGACCAGCTCCTGTTCGGACAGAGTGACAAGCTCATTCATTCTGATTTTGTTTATATCTTCAACTGCAACCACAGTTGAAAATTCCCAACAACTACCTGTAACACCAATGAGAAATGGTATATAATTGCTGGCTAGATGTTTGATAGCATAGAAATTCATGAAGCATGACTACTTGTGGATAATAAGAACAGATGATAAGAACTGTCTTGTCTAAGTCTAACCAAACTATAGAGAAATGGACTAAAAACAAATAGTTTAATGATGAATCGAATAAATCTTATTGTTTACTAATAAGAATCATACCGCATTTATAAATAGATATGTCAGGAGACTGCCCCTTCTTGTTATCAGTTTGGCCAAATCTCTCATTTGGATCAAATGCAAGGACTGACCAGCATGGACTACAGGCAGGGATGATCTCCATGGTAATTCAAAAATTACCAATGGACCAGGTCCAATGTGAACGCATTAGCACCACGGAAAGAATAGCGCCAACCCAGGTAAAGGAGCAGATTTGAACTAAGAAAAAAAGCAAAACCATGTGTTGATGTGTGACTCCTCAAAGAAATACCATTTATCATCCAACATTGCCTTCTTAATAAGAAAGTGTATGATTATGATATAACTCATCCCCTACTTAAAGACCTCAGATGCATCCAATAGCATTAGGATGTAGAGATTAACAGCTATTCTCAGAATAATATGCAAAAAGTTGAGGGAACCCAGTTCTCGACTTTTTTTTTTTTCCCTCCAAAGTAACATTAGGGAATATCTTTTGATGTTTGTTTGAAGAAAGAATTACTACATTGGATTTGATCTTCTGACATGTTCTTCCCTTTTCTTGCTAGTAATTGTAAATGTGTTGCATTGATGCCAAAATATGCAAGTTAAATGCTATTAGAAAGCCCTAAAATTCACTGCAAAAATACTTGGAATATGGAGCTACCATGCATCTACAAGCAAATGTAAGTAAGTTGCTATCACAAAGGCCCAAGCTTCACCAAAAAATTAGAATTTGGAGCTGCCCATAACCTCAATTAGACTCCTTATCTATGATAGCTATATAACAGTGTGTGGGCATCATATTGTGGCAGGCAATTCCAACATTAGTGTATGTTTTATGCCTGAAATCTTGTCAAACTGTGTCCTTTCCATGCTCAAGTTACTCAGCCCCCCTGTACAAAATAAAAGAAGTAAAAATAAAAATATGTGTTCAGTTTGTACAGATATATCAAAAAGAATCTCAGTAGTTGAAACTCCCCTCTCTAGAGTCTGGACTCTGGCTGATCTAATAACTAATGAATATAGAGGTTGAATCTGAATATCAAAGATCTAGCCTCTCAAATGTGGCAACAAAATGTCCCAAGTTCCATTCAAATATATCACTGTCTCTTATCTATTCCATAGAAATCTATAAATCTGGATTAGTTTCTATACTTGATATCCCATGGAGATATCTAGTTATATAAATAGTAAGAGTTCAGGTCTTGCATAATCCCATAGGCCGACTAGTTCTGAGTCAGTACACACCATTGCTATTCTTGAGAATACCTCCAATTCTCAGAGGTCCTGGATTTCCAAGGGAATATCCATTAAATATGGAACTTTTACCATGCAGTTCCAAATAACCACTATGTTTGCCCTATGAGAAGAGTCTTAATCAAATGAAAGATAGAAGGGTTTTATTTTTTTCTTCTTTGAGAAAAGGTGAAGTATAGTATTTCATTTCATTAAAATTATGCCCATGTACAACTAGAGGCTGTACACTAGGAATATACAAAAAACTACTCTTGCAACCCTATAAAGAAATTCCTTGACTGTTTACAAGAAGATTATAAAATACAAAAAAGGATTATAAGTACTCCTTCCCTTGAAAATTTTGTGAATATCGAACCTAGAGTGTAATTTTTGCATCATCTTCTGAGAAACAGAGTCTGCTAAGCTACTCTTGTTCTGCAAGACCCATGCATTTCTCTCCTGCCCTAACATCCAAAACACATCCAAAGGAGCAATGCTCCAAGAAAATTTTCCTTTTTTCTCGGGCCTTCCAACCACCAACTCTTTAAGGATTCCACCACAGTGGCCACCCAGCATCCTTATTCACGAACAAACTAAAAATTCTGATCCAAATGGAATTTGAAAAACTACAATTTAGAAGAAGGTGGTCTACTGATTTCATACAATGATCACACAGGAGACACAATCTGTACTTGCCATAGTCAATCCTCTCCTCACCAGGTTGTCTTTAGTGAGGATTCTATTCAAACAAACATGCTCTCCAAACAAAAGAAGCCACCTTGATGGGATGTTCTTGCACCATACTTGGCTGATAGGGAATTGTTGTTCATATAACCTTGCCAAATAATTGTGAAATGATTGACAGAAAACTTGCCTGATTTCTCCCTCCAAGCCATACAACCACTCCACATGGGCCTTACTTCCCAATCATTTAGGTTTCTGCAAAATTGAGGAGTCCATACAACATTACCATTCTGTACTTCAATACAATTAGCCACATACACCTTGTCCACAACTAAATCATATATAGAAGGTATCTATTTTTTGGTAAAGATATAAAGAAGGAAATGATTCCATTAAAGGTCTCTTGCACCATACATCCTTCCAGTAATTCACTTATCGATCATTTCCTGCATCAAACCTCAGGCCTTTAGTGAACTTGCTATAGGCCATTTCTTTTCCCTTCTAGACCAAGCATCCATATGTTTGGTAATTGGTTTGACTCCATAGGGTCCCATCCCCCATTCCTGGATCCATACTTGTCTTGAATCACCCTCCTTGCTGGTTTCTAAACCTCTAAAACCGTTTTTCAAATAAGGCTGTATTAACATCCCTCACCCACCTTGATTACCTTTCAAGATTATCCTCAGACTCCAACATTAAGGAAAAATTTATTATACTACACTTACAATATATTTTAATATGCTATAAAAAACATTTTATATTATGTTGTTTTAGAATAATAAATAATATTTTGTATCATATATAATAGAAGTTCACAAGCACGGATTCGACAAGAAGAGCAAATTCACACTAATTTTACTGAGGATTCTGAGTCAAGCTTCAGAGGTATCTCTCATGCACTCTCTTCAAATAAATCTAAAATACACCTGGCCATTCTTGGTAAAATATTACAGCAATATCTACATCATTTTTCGTAAGAAAATTATATGAAAAAAATCCTGGTTTGGTTTTCTCAGATGCAGAAAACCAAAATCAAACTACAATGTGGAAATCAAAATCCATTAGAAGATATTGAATAATGAATGAAGAAGCCATCAGAATTGGATGCAGAATTCATGAAATAGAAAACAAGCAATGTTATCTAGAAATTCAAAATTAATCAAATACTTAATTTACTGAGTAGATCTTCTACAACAAGAATTGTTTCTTTGATCTGGTTTTGAAAACTCTGGGTATCACAGTTGATCTAAAAAAACCAAAATACCAGATCCAAGAAATTTGGAAACAAAAAATCAAAATAAAAGAAAGGAAATCAATGAAATAATAATAAAAGAGAAACAATAAGATGAGAAGCTACATTTTTTGAATAAGATGCAGAGAAATAGCAATTCTTACTGTTTAAATGGAGGAAAAAATGACCAGCGATGGCAACCAGATGGAGCGGCGACAGAAACTGGGATGATCAACGGTGCCGGCAACAGAGGGAGGACGGCGACGGCAACTCTTCAGCATTTGCAATGACTTGATGCAGCAACAACGATGGCAGAGAAGTATAACTCAGAGATATGCAGAGATACGCAACAAAGATGGCAGAAAAGCAGAATTCAGCATTCTCTGCCTGAAAGAAAATGGCAGAGAAGAAGAAAGGAGTGGAGGAGAAACGCAGAGCTGATTTTCGGAGAAGTAGAACGAAGTGAAGGAGGGAAACACAGACGTGATTTTTCGGAGAAAGAGTCTCGAACTCTTATATCTTGTGGGGGCATAATTGAGATTTCTTATTTTTATCTGCTTACCCTCCACTCGGGGAATCAACTTACCCGAGTCTCGCAAAGCTATCATTTACCAGGGGAAGTGATACCCGGGTAAATCAAACTTACCATGGGTCCCACACAACTTTGAAATCCGAACACAGGTAAATTAGTCAATGGGATTGTGAATCCCATTGACTAAACTTTCCCCCCTTTACTTCATGAAAAACGAACATGGCCTTGGATTTTCTCTTCGATGAACTAATAATCAACTTACATATTATTGAGTAATGTGGTTTAATGTATATGGTCTTGTAATTATGGTCTATGGAATTAAGTGGCATGAGGGAAATGGACGGCGTGTAGGAATTAGGATCCACCAAATTCATATAATCTCTTAGCATGTGCAATTCTATGTTCTTTGTTTTGCTTTAGTTATTAGATTCATAATGCAGATATACATGATTTTCATGTATGCTGTGGCATTTCTGTCTTGTTTAATCGTGGGCCATTTGATCTGCTTTTAGTATTTCACATATGATAAGGAACAACTGATGACAATAGTCAGTAGTGAGAGCAAACTGATTGTTGCATATCTTATTCTTGATATTGTGATACACAGGATTGAATGGGAAGAGATACAAGTTAAGCAGAAATCAGCAAGTTGAATAATGTAACTTTGCCTTGTAACTGCATAAATAATCAAATGTAAGAAGCTTCCAAGCATGAATACACACAATGGTCATAGTCTCATGGGCCCTAATTATTTCCAGATTTTTCAGTCACTTTACATACATTGGCCAAGTATTCCCATGAAACAGGCATCACATGGATTTGGATAGAAAGGGAGCATTTAAAACTCTAGCAATAATATATTGCTATCAAGATTTTATTGACAAACGGGAAAGAAAATCAAGTATATAGTAGTAAAAGGGAGTCTCTGTGTGTCTCTTTTGTGTACTGTTAAATTTAAGATGGTCGATTTCTTTTCCATGCCTTTAATATCTGAAAATTTTATATATTGGATGAGCAGGATACTTTTACTCGTTGTTTCAAGTCAAATCCTCCAGAACCTTGGAATTGGAATATATATTTGTTTCCATTATGGTGCCTCGGAGTAGTGATAAGATATGGGATTCTTTTTCCAGCAAGGTGAGATCTTTGTTGTTGATATTAAGTTTGATAACTTTTCCTATGATGAACATTAGTTGGTATTCCTAGTTCTTATATGCCCTCAAATTCCTAGTTTTTGCGCTATTGTCTTTGTATGGTTTGTCATGCTTAAGCATTAGCTATTTTTCTTGATCAATTAATAAACAGTTTTTAAATCTATATCTGAAGCTTCATTTCACACACGTGTAATGTGTTAGAAGTAGTATATGTGGCAGCAGGGTATAATTGTCACTATTTTATGGTTAAACTCAAAGAAGAGTTGCCTTATAATTTTACATTGTTAAAGTATAATAAACATGATAGGGTGGCAGAGAGGAGTTGTAAGAACAGATCTCTCTCTTGTTTGCCCTATTTTTCTTCTCCTTTTCTCTTTTTTTTTCTTGTTGTTTCTACTCTCCCTTATGCTTATTTTCTCTGTTCTTACCTTGAGTTTATGATCGTCTTCAGGTTGATTAAATGGTATCAGGGCACTATTAATCACCTGGATTGATTGTAGGTATCCTGAACCAATTTGCGTGCAGATTTCTCCCTCTTTTGCTCAAAGGAGGAAGTTATTTTGCATATTTTGACTGATAGTATCAAAGAAGAGAGGCTTCTATGCCTTGATTTGGATGTGTTGGTGTGGATCAAGTGTTTGTTTGAGACCCTCTAATTGGTTAGAAGAGGGCTATGCTGGTGGTCCATGTAGGCGGGTTTCTATTAGATTATTAATTCAATTATTGTATGGTGTGATTGGATGGAAGTTTAGGATCACTAGAGATTATTTTTTATTGAGTTTATGAGATTGGCAGCTTCTTGAAGTTGTTCCAGACCTGTTTTCCATACAGAATTGATACTATAGAGGAGTGATTGTTTTTGTGTTGGGGCTGGTATGGTGTTTAGTTGGGCGTGGAATTAATTGTTGATCAATACAGTGGTACAGTTAAGTATTGGACTGGTTTTTCAGATTTAAACTGTTTCTATGACTTCCAAGTAGTGAAACCAAATCTTGTTGATAGTAAACCCAGATTTTATTACTTTACAGATGACATCAGTCAAGTTAAATTGTGCTAATTATGTTCCATGGGCTAAATCAGTTGAGGTATTCCTTACTGGAAAGGGGAAGCTGAAGTACATTAAGGATGCCAAGCCAGAAAGTGGGTCAAATGTCTACAACAAGTGGGTGGAAGAGAATGCACAGATTATGACATGGTTATGGAATGGTTTAGAGACTTCTATTAGTGTTAATCTCATGTTTCTGACACAACCAAAGAAATTTGGGATCATGTGAAACAACTATATTTAGGCCAAGATAGCCACACAAATTTATCAATTATTCCAAGATTGTTTCCTTCTTCAACAATGAGATAAAAGAGTTGAAGAATATTATTCAGATCTTAAGAACTTCAGGAATGAGCTAAATGTATACTAGCCCCTCTTTAATGACTTGAAGATTCAACAACACAAGGGGCATGTTGATGTAGCATGTTTCTTGTTTGGATTGAGGCCTGAGTATGAGCTAAGTTGTTCACAAATCTTGGGAATTCTAGTGGCCAGGTTGAAGTGGGGAATTTCTTGTCATAGAGAAATATTGTTCTTGATTTATTGAGTGTGACAGGATTGTTAGCAGTAGCGGAGCCAGGAATTTTCTCTTGGGGGTGCCAAAGTATATAATTTTTCTTTGATTTATGTTGGTGAAAAAGTCATAATAAGTCAAATTGTTAAAAAATAAACTCACAAACATTCTTCTAATATCTTGATTCATAATCTATTTAGGGTATTAAAAAGACAAGAAATTTGACATGAACTTACACACAAGAAAGAAAGCAAAAGAACTAAACATCTCATAAATAAGTTATTTGATGGAGATGGGGAAAGAAAAGGCCTAAGGGAGAAAGAAAAGGTAAAGGGGAGAGAAAAATGGTTAGATGCTGGTATGATATTCAATAGTGATAGAAGGCTAGTACAAGAAATGGATTACTGGTCTGTGTTTGAGTTAAACATCGATTAGATTAAAATAGAAACTAAAAATGTAAAAACCAGAAGAGTCACCAAGAAATTAGATACTTGTTAACTCTTGAGAAAATTACGAAATCAGAATGGAAAGTTAAGTAATACTTAGTCTATAGGCAGTGATTGGAGCATAATTGGAGTCCTAGAATAGGATAAAATGAAATCAAACAAGGAAAAGCCTATAAACAGAACCCAAGCTTTGCAAATAAAGAAATAGTAACTTCTTGTAGTTGAAACTTTCTCTAAGTAAGGAAGAGATCCATAATCAAATCAATAAACCAATAAAAGGGAATTTTTGAATTGCTCTGATTATATAAGTGATCAACCCACTCAAGAAACTTATTTCCACAAAAGCCTACAGGAGAAATGATTCTGTTAAAGCGGAAGTTTTTGGCGCTGTTGCAAGTACTAAGGATATCTAAGAATCTTGGAATCAGACTGTTGGAAGTAGAGAGAGATGCTAAGGTTGTCATTTCTTGGTTGAGCAGTAGTATCCCAGTATGGGCTTACAGGCAAACAATGAGGGAAATTCAGTCTTTAGATAAGGATGTGGCAGCTACCTTCAACTGGGTTAAGAGATCAGAAAACGGATTTGCTGATTATATGGCTAAACAGGGAGTGGATGGAGATCAATTGTTTTGGTCTGCATTGTAATTGCTGTTATTGAAAATATGGGTGCCTGGATGCCTATCCAGTAAATTTGTAATTTTGTTTTTATCTTTAATCAATGAATTCAGTTGCTTATATAAAAAAACATTTGAGAACAAATACTCCAAGGATGAAATAATTCCTCCGGGTCATACTGAAGGAAGCTTTGCTCCTGGCTGTCAGTACACAAGGACTTCAGGAGCATAGGTTATAATATGTTTTTTGATAGGGGCATTTTGTTTTCATGTTAAGTGCTCATTAATAGAAATTCTGTATAGTCCCATTATGGTATGGTTGTATATGGCACTGGTCTGCAATCTTTTTGTTTACAATACAGTACATTACCTTTAAAAAAATAAGGTTTTGTAATGACTGACCAAGAGGATCATTTCTCATTCTATTGATCCTTAAGTTCTGTATATTTAGGTACCAACCTCATTACAGTTAGGGTGGTCCATTGGATTTATATGAGAGAAACAAGGTTAAGGTCTTTCTAGTTATCAATATTATTGGGGGCTGGTTCTATGTTTCTATAGCCTCTTCCAGCTAGCATGCTTGTCCAATTGAGATGGGCTTCCCTTCCCCTGGGTGTATCCAAGCTGAATCTTGATGGTTGCTCTTCAAGGACATCCGGGTTATATGGAGATTGAAGGTATTTTCACAGATCCAGTGGGAGAGGCACCCCTAGTCTTCTCTGGGCTTAGTGGTTGGTGTCCACCACATCTATCAAAGTGGTGCCCCTCCCACTCTATTAGTGCTATTAGTGCATGGTAACCATAAAGTAGTTATAGAAAATGGCTATTAGTGCATGGTAACCATAAAGTAGTTACAAAAAGTGGCTATTAGTGTATGGTAACCACAAAGTCAGATATAAAAGGAGTGGCTATCTTGTATCCTTCTTCTTCTTCTACAATTTTAATGAAAAATCTCTCTTTGGAGTGTGTGTTCTTCCTGTGGACGTAGGAGGATTTTCTTCGAACCACGATACGTGATCCAACCCTTCTACACCAACAAATGGTATCGGAGCCAGGTTATTAAATCTGTGAAGTACTTACAATGGCAAAGATGTCGATTATAAAGTTCAAGGTGGAGAAATTTGACGGCAAGATGAATTTTGGGTTGTGGCAAAAGAGGGTGAAGGCAGTTCTGGTACAACAAGGTTTTCCCAAAGCTCTCCTTGGAAAGGAGAAGGCAGAGAAGATGACAAGTGATGAGTGGGTTGAGTTAGATCTGAAGGCATTGAGCATGATTTAGTTATACTTGGCAGATGAAGTGATGTACAATGTACTCGATGAGGAATCCACCATTGACTTGTGGATAAAGTTGGAGAAATTGTATATGACAAAATATCTCACTAATAAATTGTACCTGAAGAGGCAATTATATAGTTTGCGTATGGCAGATGGAACCAATTTATTAGATCATTTGAATACATTCAATCGGTTGATTGCACAACTTCTCAATGTAGATGTGAAGATTGATGAAGAAGATAAGGCAATTCTTCTCCTCTCATCTCTCTCAGAATCGTATAATCATTTGGTGACGACCATCTTGTATGGGAAGGATACATTGGTGATGGATGAGGTCACAAGTACTTTGTTGTCAAACGAGATGCGGCGAAAGCCTACCTTTAGTGATAGTGAAAATTTGACTACAAAGGATTCGGGTTATGAATGGGGCAGATCTAAAGAGAGGGAGATAAGAAGAATAGAGGCAGATCAAAATCCAAATTGAAGAAAACACAATGCAAGTGGTGCAAGAAAGATGGTCACTGGCTAAAGGATTGCAAGAAATTTGTAGAGGCTCAAAAGAAGAAAGGAAAAGCTGCAGACGTGGTAAGTGTTGCTTCCGATATAGAGAATGATGGAGATCTTCTTACGGTCTCCTCAGGCATGGATCCCTTGGATACTTGGATACTTGATTCTGGATGTTCTTATCATATGTGTCCTTATAGAGATTGGTTTTCTACATATGAGTCACATGTTGGCGGCACAGTTCTTATGGGAAATAATGCCGAGGGTAGAATTGTTGGGATTGGGACAATTAAAATCAAGATGTTTGGTGGGATTGTTAGAACATTAACAAATGTTAGACATGTCCCAGATCTTAAGAAAAGTTTAGTCTCACTTGGTGCTTTAGATCATTATATAGGTTAATTGGAAAAACTATCATTAGGGATGCAACTGTCACATCTACTTTAGATGATGATTATAGTCAGTTATGGCACTTGAGATTGGCACACATTAGCGAGAGAGGCATGATAGAATTGCACAAAAGGAAATTACTTGATGGTGCTAAATCTTGCAAATTAGATTTATGCAAATATTGTATTTTTGGAAAGCAATGCAGGGTTAGTTTTACAACATCTACTAAAAGAAGCAAGGAGATTCTTGAGTATGTGCATGCAGATACATGGGGTTCATTGCCAGTGACTAATAGTGGTGGAGCACGATATTTTGTTAGCTTTGTTGATGATTATTCCAGAAAGGTTTGGGTATACTTCATGAAGCATAAATCTGAAACTTTTGAGAAGTTCAAGATTTGGAAGGCAAAAGTGGAGAAACAAACCGGAAAGCAGATAAAATACCTACGAACAGATAATGGTGGAGAGTTTACCTCTACAGAGTTTTAGAAATTGTGCAGCTGAAGGGATTACTCGACATCTTACTACTCTAGGCACACCACAACAGAACGGGGTAGCAGAAAGAATGAACAGGACACTACTAGAGAAGGCAAGGTGCATGAGGATTTTTGCAGATTTACCAAAGCAGTTTTGGGCCGAGGCAGTTATTATGGCCTGTTATGTGGTAAACAGATCACCTTCCAAAGCATTGGGACTCAAGATAGCAAAAGAGGTATGGACTGGTAATTTTGTTGATTACTCAAATTTGAGAATTTTAGGATGCCCTTGTTATGTTTTGTTGCAGGATAGAGAGAGGACAAAGCTTGATGCTAAGTCAAAACCTTGCATTTTTCTGGGATACAATAAAGGGGTGAAAGGATTCAGACTTTGGAATCCTAACACCAAGAAGGTTGAGATAAAGCAGAGATGTTGTATTTGATGAAGCTTCTATGTTGAAGAAAAATCAGTAGCAAATCCGAGATGGTGAGAAGAGCAGTACCTCAATTTAGGTGGAGCTAAGTGAGGAAGAGAAAATGGGTAGTGAACCGGTCGCTACAGATTCTTCTCATCAAAGCCAAGAAGTTGCACAATCCCAAGAGGAACCACCATATTCCATTGCTGTAGGTAGGGCTAAAAGGAACATCAAGAGACCAGTCAAATTTGATGATACAGTTGCATATGCATTAACAGCTAATTGTGATGATTCAATGACCTACAAGGAGGCAATGAAAGATAAAGACAACTCACCATGGATGGGTGCTATGAAAGAGGAGATGGCTTCTCTTTGGAAGAATGAAACTTGGAAGTTAGTAGAATTGCCCAAGGGTAAGAAGGCTATTGGGTGCAAGTGGGTGTACAGAAAGAAAGAGGCTTCATCTACAAGAAAACTGGTTAGGTACAAGGCAAGGTTAGTAGCAAAATGATATGCACAAAAGGAAGGAGTGGACTTCAATGAGATTTGTTCTCTTGTAGTGAAGCATTGTTCCATTAGAATCATGTTGGCGATGGTAGCTATGTGGGATACAGAGTTGGAGCAACTTGATGTGAAGACAACTTTCCTCCACGGGAACTTAGAAGAGGAAATTTATATGGTGCAGCCCGATGGGTTTGTTGAGACTAGCAAAGAACAATTGGTATGCAAGTTGAATAGGTCACTCTATGGCCTTAAGCAAGCATTGAGGCAATGGTACAAGCACTTTGGCACTTTTATGACTTCACATGGCTGTATCAGAAGTAAGTACGTCAGTTGTGTTTATTTTCGTTTCCTTTATGATGACTCCATTATACTGTTGATGCTTTATGTCGATGACATGCTTATTGCTTGTAAGAGTTTGCATGAGATTGTTAAGTTAAAGCAGAAATTGAGCATGGAATTTGAGATGAAAGATTTAGGTGGAGCAAAAAAAATCTTGGGTATGGAAATTCAAAGAGACAGGCACAATGGGAAGTTGTGGTTGACCCAAAAAGGATATATTGAGAAGGCATTGACCAAATTTAATATGAAGGAGTCTAAGGCAGTGAGCACACCACTAGTTTAGCACTTCAAACTATCTCTTCAACATTGTCCAAAGACAGAGGAAAAACGTGAGGAGATGATACATATACCATATGCCAGTGCAGTTGAATGTCTTATGTATGCTATGGTATGCACCAAATCGGACTTATCTCAAGCAGTTAGTGTTGTGAGTAGATTTATGGCTAATCTAGGGAAGGAGCATTGGAATGATGTAAAGTGGATTCTGCGCTACTTGAACGGTACCCAAGATATAGGTTTACTATTTCAGAATGGTTTGAAAGGAAACAAAGTGGTTGGGTATGTAGATTCAGATTTTGTAGGTGACCTTGACAAAAGAAAGTCTACTACGGGATATATTTTCACTCTTGGTCAAGGTCCTATTAGTTGGAGATCTACATTACAAGATACGGTGGCTCTGTTTACTACAGAAGCAGAGTTACATGGCAGTAGTAGAGGCAACCAGGGAAGCTGTATGGTTGAGAGGATTGGTTCAAGAGCTTGGAATTGATCAGAAGAACATTTGTGTTCACTGTGACAGTCAGAGTGCTATATGTCTTGCAAAGGATCTAGTATACCATTGCAAGGACTAAGCACATAGATGTGCGGTATCATAGGCTCAAAGATTTTGTAGCAGATGGTGACATTTAGTTGGAGAAGATTTCTTCCCAAATGAACATAGCAGACATGATGACCAAGCCATTGCCAAGGGAGAGGTTTAGGCATTGCCTGAATCTTTCAAACATACAACGGTGCTAAGTTGTGAAGGCCCCAGGAAGAGGGGGTGTATGGTAAAATCAGTTACAGAAAGTGGCTATTAGTGCTATTAGTGCATGGTAACCATAAAGTAGTTAAAGAAAGTGGTTATTAGTGCATGGTAACCATAAAGTAGTTATAGAAAGTGGCTATTAGTGTATGGTAACCACAAAGTCAGATATAAAAGGAGTGGCTATCTTGTATCCTTCTTCTTCTTCTTCTTCTACAATTTTAATGAAAAATCTCTCTCTGGAGTGTGTGCTCTTCCAGTGGACGTAGGAGGATTTTTTCTGAACCACGATATGTGATCCAACGCTTCTACACCAACAAATGGAAAATTGTTGGGATGCACATGTGAGTAGGTGTATGGAATGAGGAATGAAAGAGAGTTCCACATTGGAAAGACACAAGAAGTGCAAAGGACTTGTATACAAGAGTGGCCCATAACCCAATAGCTTAGGTTTTTGGGTTGTAAGTGGTGTCCATCTCTTGTGTACAAGTCTTACGTGTGTGTACATGTATGAAGCCCTCGGTCTTGGCAACTCCTCATGGTCTGTGACTCCCCTCAAGGCCCAACACTTTCTTATCCTCTTCTTTAGCTTTCTGCTTTATTAAGCATATCTTTTTAATAAATTTCCAGAAGCTATTGACAAAGAAAAAGTTTGTTGTATACTTTATGAATATTTAATTTTCATCATTAATTTGATGTATGTCATTTGAATATGCAGAGTTTTAATATTGACAATAGGATGGATAATTTTCCTTTCATCCTTCATTCCAGTACATTTCCTATTGAAAAGGCACGATACTTGGAGGAAGAAGATAGAGGTACAATGGTTTCTTTATTTTTTATGCAGTTTTTGCATTCAATCCTTTCACTACTTATCACTTTTTCTGTGTTTCTGAAAAAATAATAATGATGTTGGAATTAGCATCTTTGAAGTTTTCATTTTTGGATTCTTTTCCTAGATTGGAAGTTTAAGTATAATGTTGGAATTAGCATCTTTGAAGTCTTCATTTTTGGATTCTTTTCCTGGATTGGAAGTTAAGTATATGTTGGGAGACAGCATGCAAACTATTAGTTCTATTCTCAGCTGAAGTCAACTCAGCCTTAATCCTAACTATTTGGAGTTGGTGCACGAATCTTGTCCCACTATTTTGCTCTATCAAGAGCTATGTTTTCTGCCAAAGTGTAAGCCCTTGAATCATTTCTTACTTCAACTCATATTTTCTTTGGTCTTTCCCTTGTTCTTTTAAAATCTTCTACTTTCACTAAGCCACTCTTCATTGGTTGTCTATGCACATGACCAAACCATCTCAGTGGATTTTTCATTTTTGCTCATCTTGTCAACAGCCTGTTCCCTTTAAAATTCGGGAGGTATCATACAATTTGTATAATACTATGGAAAATGTCTATTTTATTTTAATTTTCTATGATCTACATGTCAACACCCTTGGCTGAATAGAGAAGAGAACAAGAATAATCTTAGAGGTGTCCAGAATGGTTTACCCCCACCTCAAAGAGTCTCTTATATTATTAAAAGATATTACAATTACAAGAATGCCCATATAGGGCTGAAAGAGAAAAAAATAAAATATACAAGTAAAGTAATATACAACAGGAACTATATTAATAAGATACATCAAGTCACAGAATCTCCACACTACATGCATCAGCATCTAGTTGTAATTGGAATGGTTTAAAAATCCCCAGATGCTAATCTTATTGCACACTAGACAATGGAAGTTGATTTTGCAATCTGTTGTGATTTATGTTCTAAATATATGCTAATCTTGATGCATTGGCATCTTCTTTTTCGTTTTTTATCAATTCTGTCTAAATAATTTAGAAAATCATGATCTCCCTTTTAGTTTTAATATTGTTCCTCTATAACATGTATAACAATTTAAAATTTTAATTATAAGAAAATAAGAAAATCTAGTTTTTTTATCAGTAATCAACATCATCTTTTATTACTTAGAATAAGAAAAGAGTAGAGAAACAAGGGCAGCCTTGGCTACCATCAATAAAATACAGAGACAATTTAATATTCAGTCTTGCAATTGAGCCCAGAAGCACTCTGCCCTATTTACCCCTTGCTTTTCTAGCTGGTCAGCTAGACCATTTGCCGACCTAGGAGTCCATTGAAATATCAGCTGCATATCCCTTGAGAACCTCTTGAATTGTTTGATTTTGTTTCTGAAAAACCAAGGAACCTTCTCATTCTGTTTTAACCAACTTATCACTATTTTGGAGTCACCTTCAACTATTAGCTTTCGTATCCCCATTTCTATAGATTTCTGCATCCCATAAATTACTGCCTTCAGTTCTGCTGTTACAGAATCACACACTTCAATGGGGCCTGAGTACATTCCCATGATCACTCCGCTTTCATTTCTTAAAACCCCTCCAATTCCAGACGGTCCCGGATTCCCAAAACTACTTCCGTTGAAATATAATTTCAGGAATCCAACCTCTGGGAGTTACCAGCCCTTTAGTGCCTTCTGCTTAGCTGAAGTTGAGGCTGCAATTGTTCTCTAGTTCCTTAATATGTCATCAATAGAGAAAGCTGAAAACAACTCCATTGTCTTTATCCAGAAAGCCACTTTTGCCATAATCCCTTTAATTAATGCTTCTTTGCTCCTTTTCTTTTCCTCAGATATACGTTTATTTCTTTCCTCCCATAAGGTCCAGATTATTGTTGCTCTTGTACACCTCCACATCAGTCTTCCCCTCCTTTTTGGCCAGCTCAAAGTAGAACCATCAAACAACCTGTCCAATCTGTCCGGAGTATCCCACCTGCACCCAAAAAGAGAAAAAAAACCAATCCCAAATACCACAAGCAAATGGATAGGAAATGAACATGTGAATAGCAGATTCACCATTAGATTCATACAAGCAGCACCAATTTGGGGAAAGGCACTATCCAGGTCTCTTTCTCTGTAGAATATCACAAGTGTTGATTGCACCATGGAAGACCTCCCAACAGAAAGCACTCACTTTGGGGGGAATTGGATGACACCAGATCTCTTTGACTGGAAAGGGAGCAACTGGTTGAGAAGGCATAGACAACGACTTGAAAAAGGAAGCACAACTGAAAACCCCAGAAGGATGTAGAGTCTAAATTCTATCATCTTGTTTACTTAGGTCAAGGAAAACCCGCTTAAGAATGTGTAGTAGGTTTGAAACAAGGCCCAACTCAGTGTCCCTTACATTTCTGTGAAAGCCTAGATTCCACCCATACCCATTAACCAAGGGAGAGGGGAGCAAGAACTCAGAAATTGGCTTTCCCTTGAGAGCAGAAAGGGTAAACAAGGAAGGGAAGGAATCCTTTAAAGGGGCTTCACCTACCCAAAGATCCTCCCAGAATTTGATTTTATTACCTGAATTAATATCAAGTTTGATGTGATTGAGAAAAAATGGGAGGCATTTCTGAATCGCTTTCCAAGGTGAAGAGCAAGAGGCCCTGCTAGAAGTTCCAGCATCCCACCCATTCTCTAAGAGCCCATGAATACTAGCAATCACTTTATGCCATAACCTATCTGATTCTCTCGGGAATCTCCACAACCACTTTCCTAGAAAAGCCTGGTTCTTTTCTTTCAGCCTCCCTAACCCCAGCCCTCCATATTCCTTCCTTCTACAAACTATTTCCCATCTAATTAGGTGATCCTTCTTTGTCTCCCACGGTTCCCACAAGAAATCCCACATAATTTTCTCCAACTTCTTTACAATTGCCTGAGGCACGGTAAACACCGATGGTCCGATAGGTAACCGGAATGTTAACTAAAGTAGATTTGATTAAGGTTATCCTACCTCCCAAAGAAATGTAATTCCTCTTCCAAGCCGCTAACTTCTTCTCAAATCTCTCCACTATCGGGCTCTAGAAGGTCAAAGATCTAGAATTTGCACCTAAAGGAAGTTTTAAGTATTTCATAGGCCAATCACTGGACACACATCCGAGTTCCCTTGCCCACAGCTCAATCTCCTCCTATCCCATATTTACCCCAGCTACTACACTTTTATTGAGATTAACCTTCAGATTTGTCAACTTTTCAAACAAGCTCAATAACATCCTCAAATTCCTAGCCTCTTCCTCACCTTCCCCCTCACAAAAAATAATGATGTCATCTGCAAATTGAAGATGGGTTACCATCACCCTGTCTCTCCCCACTCTCCACCCTCTTACAAGACCCACTTCATCTGCTTTTGTGATCAAACTACTGAACACCTCTGCTACAATAGTGAATAGAACCGGTGAAAGTGGATCCCCCTGTCTCACACCTCTCATAGCACCAAAAAAATCTATAACCGTCCCATTCACTAAGACTGAAAAATGACAAGATTTTAGGCATCCTCTAATCCACTTGCACCATCTTGCACCAAAGCCACATTTGCTCAAAGCTTCAATCAAGAGACCCCAGTCCACAAAATTGTAGGCTTTCTCTAGATCCAACTTGCACACAATACCTTTCTTCTCATTCTTCTTGAATTCCTCTACACACTCATTTGCAATGAGCAGTTGATCTGAAATCTGTCTCTCTTAAAGCTCCTTGATACTGTGATATAATTGATGGGAGTACCTTTTTTAGGCGATTGGAGAGAACCTTGGCTATGATTTTGTATTGGCTTATCACTAGGCTAATGGGTCTAAAATCCTTGGGGTGACATGCTCCTGATTTCTTAGGAATCAATGCAATAAAAGTAGCATTAACCCCTTTGTTGATCATCCCTCTGTGGTAGAATTCCTCAAATACTTTCATTAAATCCTCCTTTAGCCACTCCCAACAATCTTGGTAAAAAGCCATGGTGAATCCATCTGGTCCTGGTGCCTTGGACCTATCCATTGAGAAAATAGATGCCTTCACTTCCTCCATCTCAAAACCTTTTTCTAGTTCTCTACTCAAAGTGCTATCTCAAGCAGGCCATGTCAAACCCTCTAAGATCCATCTATTCTCCACTGGCCTTTTATAGATTAGTTTAAAGTGATTCACTAATGCCTTTGCAATGTCATCTTGTTGTGTGATGACAGCTCTGTTGTTGCTTGTGGTGATTGAGAGAGAGAGAGAGAGAAAGAGAGGTACGGATGATAGAAAGAAAAGCAAAACCAGTACTGGCAGCCGCCAATCATCTATTTATATTAATCTTTATAAAAAAGACAAAATTAAAAGTATGCCCCTGGCGGCATATCCTAGGATAAGAACAATAAGAAAAAAAAAGAAAGAAAGGACTAGTAGCTGAAACTGTCCCACTAACATCAGTTACAAGGAACACTYAAGCCTTACAACACTCCCCCTCAWGTTGGGCWGAAGATGTCTATCATGCCCAGCTTGTCACATAGCTCATTGTGCCGCGAACACGGAAGTCTTTTTGTGAGGATATCAGCAAGTTGTTCCTTGGAGTTGACATAAG